CAGGGAATAAAGTAGAAAAAATAAATTTTTATACCTGTTTTTACTGCATGCTGTAATGTACTAAGCTAACCAAATGCTATTTGAGGATACCCAGTTTTATGAAAATGATATGCTATAAGCAAGAGACCACATTATCTAAAAAGTAGACCTATTTTTATATAGATGTTGGTCTAATTCCTTTATTCTTTATCTGCATTTCCAGTGTGTACCAGTGGTATTTAGTTGGTCATTTTTATAGCTCTGTATTTTGCTTAGACCACAAAGCAATAAAATTAGAAGAATTGACCACCTAAATTTGATTCTTATATTTCAGGAGCATTTTCTCATTTGTTCATTTGTTTCTATCCCCGTACCTTTTCTGCGATACTTATTTTTTATTTATTTATTTATTTGATTTGTCAATTGCTTACAAGATAATAGGTATAAGTATATACATAGTTATGAATACATGAAATGGGTACATATAAGAAAAATAAAAATAAACAATAGGACAGGGACGGTAGGCACGTTGGTGCGCTTATGCACGCCTCCTACAGACCTCTCAGGAAAGGGGTGAGGTCAATAGTAGACAGTCTAAGGTTAAAGTTTTTGGGGTTTGGGGAAGAAACTACAGAGTCGGGTAGAGTATTCCAGACATTGACCACTCTGTTGCTGAAGTCGTATTTCCTGCAATCAAGTTTGGTGCGGTTAACCTTGAGTTTGTATCTATTGTGTGCTCTTGTGTTGTTATGGTTGAAGCTGAGGTATTCATTGACAGATGCATGATACTGTGTATGAAATCTTGAATGGCAGTTGGATTAGGATCATTGATACATCTTTATTACATGGACATCTAAATTTACAGTGTGATGAACTGCTACAGAAATACAGTTAGTCCTCAATTTACAACAGTTTATTTAGTGACCGTTCAAAGTTAAAACCTCACTAAAAAAGTGACATATAATGATTTTTCACCCTTAAGCCGTTGTAGCATCCCCATGGCCATCTGATTTACATTCAGATGCTTGACAACTGACTCACATTTATGACAGTTGCAGTATCCAGGAGTCATATGATTGCTTTTTGCAACCTTTTGACAGGCAAAGTCAATTGGGAAAGCAGATTCAATTAACAATAACAAATTCACTTTCACTTAACAAATTTGGCAAGAAAAGTAAAATGGAGCAAAACTAACTTAACAAATTTCTCACTTAACAACATAAATTTCGGACTCAATTGTGGTTGTAAGTTGAGGATTACCTATATTTAGACTAATCCTTTGCTTGTAAGCTTTTAGAATATCAAGATAGTGGATACCTTATTATCTATACCGTATAATATATTTTTTCTTTTATGTAAGATATTTTATTTCGCAATTATTTTATGGCTGTTTAGTATAATAAAAATTTCCAAGTTTTAATTTCAGGATATGGGCTAAATGGAAAAACCTGCTAAAATATTCATGGAAAATTCAGGATATAGAAATTATTGCAGAATTGTGTCATTAATGGGGGCTATTTCAGCTTCCCTGTATTAACAACAGAAAGTAGACTATATGTTTCCTTCAGAGAAGATGGTAGAATAAAAGCTTTTGACATGCAGAGATCAAAAGATAAGTAATGGGAATATATTCATCTGTTTTTAAATAAAAAATGGAGTAAGGATGAAATCTGCTAGTGTGAACTAATGCAACTCTACCTTCTCAGCTTCTAAGAATGCCAGTTAAGCCAGTCTGTCTGGTCAAAATTACCTATATTTTTCACAATTATCAGTTGTTAGCAAGCCTCTTGATGCCTAAGAAAATGTATATTTTAAGAATATGTAAAAAAATGGTCTGTGTGGTACCTGCTTTTTTATGTCTTTAGATGTGTTGAATTACTGTGGAGTCATTCTTGGTACATTTATTCATGGCTTTCACAGACATTGTCACAAGATATATCGAGGGGAAAAATCTGATACTGCACTGACTTGATGCCAGGCTCTCAGTAATTATGCTGACTGAATGACTAACTCAAAAAAATTTCCAGCTTTTCCTTAATGTTCTGGTTCATCCAAAATTAAACTGATTTTTTAAAACTTGTATGTGAGATTTTTATTATGTTTTTCTACAAAAGGACAAAGCAGTGACTAGAAAGTGCTGTAAGACTGAAGAGAATTGGCATCCTTGCACTGCTGCACAGTAGCATGGAGTTCTGATGCCATAGTAGATTAATATGAGTTCTTCAACAGTGCATGATATCTTAGCAAGAATAAGCTGAGTTCTTAATAAAAATAACCACCCATTAAAAAACACGTTACATTAGGTTTATCACATTGTATTTCTAGCAGAACTATTTTATAAGTTTTGGAGGAGGGATTCAACCTTGAAATAACACTTTTTAAACTGGAACATACTCATCACAATCCAGTCCTATCAATTTTGCTAAGAGAAATAAATGAACTTTTACTTATTTTCCACTTATTGATTTCTTTTTCAGTATTGGAATTTCATCCCTATATGAAATTAACTTGTTAATACACTCTCTTTAGAGTATTTAAAATGCTTTATTTAAAATGATATTTCAACTTTAAACATACTAATAAAGTTTGATGATAGAAAAGCTTTGCTTCAACTTTAGCTTTTTATTTTACTTTTCTGTTTCCTTTCTCATTGTAGATGTTAAACATACATAGTTTTTCAATTAACTGTAATACTGAAATGAAGATAATTATTTAGTATATATAGTAAATTCATTTCCATATTTCAGTTTTCAAAGAACATACAAGATTGTTGTAGAGTTAAATTTGAGCTGCCACTCTTCATTCTTTGGAAATGAATATGGAAGATGAGCTGGCTTTGAACTTGAAATACAAAGTGGTATCTGCAACTTAATTTTGATGTCTTAGGTATAGAAGAGTTACCAGACTGAACTAGATGAGTAAATAAAAATCACATTTTGTTCATGTCCATGTTGGTACCATTTTACAGAACTGTAATATGCATAGATATTACATGAGTTGAAATCTTCAAAAGAAATTCTATAATTGTGAAGCTGACACATAGTACTCAAATGTGATAGAGCAAAGTTTATTTTGATTTTTGAAAGTCCATAGACTTCTGTTTCAGAGGTGCTTTAAGCAGTGTATTCTTTCTGAGGGACTTCTTATTCTTTCCATTTATTCATGTCCAGTTCATGGAGACTACTTGGACAAGTTACTGCAGTTTATTTGGCAAGGTTTCTCAGAAATGTTTTGCCATTACCTTCTTCCTAAGGTGGAGAGAAACAACTGGCCCAAGGTTACCTAGGTGGCATTGGACCTAAGGCAGGATTAGAACTAGAAACTTCCTAGTTTCTAGCCTGATGTCTTAACTACTACTTTGAGCTAGTTTTTATTAATAGTGCTATGCATTAATAAATATAGTGAACAAGGTAAAGCTAGAAATCAAAAAGTGGATCAATACAAGAGCTTAATATTAATTAAGAGTGTAATATTAATTTATGTTCCATTTTTCCTTCAGAAGTTTTCTTCCTATTCTCAAGTGAGAAATAAATTACAATTAGATATTTGACTGGATCAAAGCCATCTTAATTCTGCATTAATTTGAGTTTTACACAGTTGTAGGCTAGACTGAATTGTGTAAGCTTAAGTTAAAGTGGGACTTTGGAGAATTGGATAAGAGAATTATTGGATATACATGTTCCAGATTTACAGAGAAAATATGGTGATAAATTAGTCATTCCAGTGAAATATTTATGTAAATTATTACTATCCTAAATGCAGAGTAATCATGTTACCTGAAATACCAGGCAATTTGTAATACCAATATTTCTAAGAAATAGCATTTTTGTGCAATATCCTGAAATTATTGATAGTTACAATTTATAGGGTATTGTATAATACATCACCTAATTATAAAATATGTAGTAAATGTCCTGTAGTGCTATTTTACAGGATTAGTATTTATTTCAGAAATAATTCATTGGATATTAAGGGACATTTTTTTACTTACTATCCACAGATTATTTGTTGTAATATTTAAAAATGTTTTGACCTTTTAATGATTTTTACCTTGACATATTTTACTATTCTATTGATGTTATTAGGGCTTGGGAATGAATTTTAATTATATATTCCTATATTAATAATTGTGTTCACTATAATTCTTTATAAAATTATTTTCACTTAAGTTTGAAGTCCATGCCTTTCAATTAAATTGTAGAGAATCAAACTGAATACATTTAGTATACAGCACTTTCTATCTGCATTTGCATTACAGCTATATAATAGAGCAGAAAATCCTCAGAATAGCTATTTATGAATTCTGTTTGTTGACTACAGAACCATCTTTATTGAAACATAAGAATTATATCTTCTGGTATAAGTTGTCACTTGGCATCTAAAATTGTATGATTCAGCCAAGGAAGTGTTGCTCAAAAGAATCATAGAAAACAATTGTAATGTGATTTTGTATCTATTTCTCAATAGAATGAGTTTCTTTTGAATAGATACCAAATGAGGGTAAGCAAGGTTCATGTCAACAGAAGCAATGTTTAATATTCCAATATAGGGTCACTTTTTATTTCACTTGATTTGGCTTTATTGCTGGCAGACTAAATTGTAAGCTGATGAGTTTCTTGTAATATATGAATAATAATTACTTGAAACATGCAAGCTATTATGTTTTGAAATTATATTTTACTTCATTGAAATTGTGTAAGGTACTTTGAATAATTTTTGACATGGAGATGGGCCAGAGTTCTGAAGGATTGTTCAGGTATATGTATAGTTTTAGCAAATTTTGCAATATGTGGCATTTTTAGACATTTACTAAGCCATTAATAACTTTCTAGTTAATTTCTGCTTCAATTTCTTATATTTAGAAGTGATTAGTACATTGAAAAATGCTCTAAACTGTTCTTTGTGTTTATTTGTAGGATCGTACAAGAACTTTTGACATGCATTCACTGGAGAATTCATTAATCGACATAATGAGAGCTGAAAGTGATTCTCTGAAAGGTAACCTTGGATTACCATTTGGGGGGATTAAATAATTACAGTAATATAGTTGTGCATGATAGAAAGTTCTTCAATTTATAGTACAGTTAAAGCATTTACCACCCATGTGTCTTTCACCAATTCTCTCTGTCTTTCATCATAAGCAATTAAATCAAAACTACCATTGAAATAATTCCTTTTTCATGTATGTGCATGAATAGACTTATGCTTAAACCATTTGTTTCAAACAGACCCCTTTTTAACCATATACTTGCCATACAGTCACTATGCTTATTTTCTGTTGGGTGCCCAAGTGGTTCTGTCACGTTTCCTGTAGTCTCTCATCTCATTCTCACCTATCTGTTCATGCTCTCTAAACATTCAGAGGTTCTGGATGTTGGTCAGGTCATTAATTGGTATTAGTATTAAAAAAAAATGAAAGAAGTGAAAGAAATAAGACTAAAAGTGCCATGAGTGCAGGGTGAGAAAGCATGAGTCCTGCATGCAAAAGGTTTACAACACAGATTAATCTCTACAATGGAATAAACAGAAAGTGGACATAAGGAAAGAGAATATAATAGCTACTATTAAATTTCAGTGCAATAAAAGTGTGTGGAACTATACTAAGGGAAAGTATGAAAAAGCATGCTTGCTGAAATGATGAAGTGGAAGTCTAAAACAGAGCTATGAATGTGCTTAAAATAAGGGAGATACTCTATTGTATAGAGAGAGCTATCTTAAAGGGTAGGATTGAATTTAATACTATAAATGTTAGTGCCCCAAAATTATGAAGATATATTTCCTAATATAAATATTAGGAAATTATTAAGGTTATAATATTCAAATGTGAATGTGGTTTACTTACTGAATAGCTTAAAAGTTTCATCTGTATGAAATGTTTGAGGGAATATAGTTGTTGTTCCCAACAAAAAAGGATAAATAACAAAATAAAATTAAAAAAAAACCTTACAGAGGATTACTTTGTTAAGAGTGCCTAAGAAGTTGCTTGGTAGAACTTTGATTGGAAGGATACAAGAAGTGACTAACAAATCACAATTTGAGAGGTATTACATCTTATGCTGGTTGGAACTATACAATCCAGATATTTGCTTTTCAGCAGTTATTGAGAAAGGAATGATGGTGAGAAAACATGCATTTTGTATAGAGAAAGCAAGTTTGGTGAATAGATTTGAATAAGCGGATGTCTTGTGAGAATGTAGGGTTGAAGGTTGATCACTGATAAGAATGATATATAGTGGAACCTAACCCTAACCCTAACCCTAAGCTTAGCTTAATATGTGGTGTGCTGCAAGGAATAAACATTTGTCAAAAGAAGTAAAGAAAATGAACATTGAGTATTTCAGGAGAAATTTAAAAGAAAGTTGAGTGCAGCAGAGGAACTGCAAAAGGAACATAAAAGTAAGTTAAATGTAGTAGAAATGCAGTACTTTAGCAGCATATGTGGTAAATCCAAAGTAAAAGGGCCAGGGATGAATTTATGATGAATGACTGAGGATTAAATCCAAAAAGAAATTGCCAGTACAAAAGTAGTCTGTTGAGATTGTTTGAATAAAATGATTGAAGATCAAGTTGAAAGAATGGTTGAATAGGTGGAGGAGAAGAAGGAGGAGGAGGAGAAGAGGAGGAGGAAGAGGAGGAGGAGGAAGAAGAAGAAGAAGAAGAAGAAGAAGAAGAAGAAGAAGAAGAAGACTGAGAAAGTCATGCTTTGATGCAGTTAGAACATAGGACATAGAAGCATAAGACTGGAAGGGACCTCAAAGGTCTTTTAGTTCAATCCCCTGCTCAAGACAGGAGTCCTTATATTATCCCAGACAAATGATTGTCCAATATTTTCTTGAAAACCTCCAACAATGGAGCACCTACAACTCCAGGAGGCAAGCTGTTCCTTTGGTTAATTAATTAAGAAGGATACAGTGTGTGGTTCTTTCTTAACTGAAATAAGATTAAAACACACAGAGATACACTTTGCACTGCAGACCAATTTTAAAAACCGTACTGTACTTTCCAAATTTGCATTTTTTTTGTTTATTTGTCAAATTTATATGGCCACCATCACAAAAGAAGGGACTTTGTGGGGTATGCAACCATTGAGCAGAGGTTTCCAAACATGGCAAAATTCTGGGAGTGGAAGTCCACCAGTCTTAAAGTTGCTACGTTTTGACATCTGTGCCATTGAGTATTGTGGATTGTGAACTTAATGAGGTGGGGCAAAATAGGTTTTTTTTAAAAAAGTAAATAAGGCTCCCTATATGAAGGGAGGGATCAATCAAGGATTTTGAAGCAGGGCCATAAAGAGACAGGAGTGCCCAAAGCAGCTGAAGAAATCATGGGGAATGTGCATTATTAAATGCTCAGCTTTCTCAGGCAGATCAGGACACCAGTAAGTACCACATTTATGCCAGTTTATTTTTGTGTCAGCTTGAGGGATGGACAAAGAGTCACATAGCCTTTTGTAGGTGGGAGTCCATGTAAAAAAGACAGGAAGAATTGTGTAAAAGAAGGGGAAATTATATACAGTTGATATATGGGAGTTAAATTATCCTGAGTTGCATGATACTTGATCCTTTATTATATATGTGGGAGTTGATATGATCCTTAAGAAAAAGAGAGGAAGGAATTTTGAAGAGTACAAAACAATGTTTGGAGAGGTGTATGGATGTGTGGGAGCAAAGATACTTTGCTAGGACAGAAAGATATGGAGTCATTGTATACTGTATAGTGAATGATGTTTATGTTAACCAGATTTAGCTATGTTTCCTCTTTCTTATCTCATATATTTTAAGTTCTTTTCTGCACTTTGCATAATACTGCTAATCTCAAAGGGACTAATGGGAGAAAGATATGTAATTTTAAAGCAATTGCTTCTTCCTTTTATTTGATAGTTTGTTCTTATTGCAGTTTTGTTTTCTTCCATTTACCTCAAAAGGAAATAACCATATGCCCATTTTATCATTATCTTAAAAAAAGGTCTCTTGAAAGCCCTTCTGGAATGTATCATATTAAGCTGTGATGCCTTTGCCATTCATGGTCTGTATTCTGATAATTCAGGGAGAAAGACCTTTCATTTACATTAATCTGACTGATTACTTGGTGAACTTTGATTCTGTTAGAATAGGGAGGAGTCTAAACTCATTTGTCCTGAATTTAGATTTTTTTTCCTATTTACTGCAGGTGCTGCTCTCATCATCCTTAATTTGCAGAAAAGTATTGTTCATAGTAATTAATTTGGCAAACAAGTTTTAATTACAACAAAACCAGAGTTTAATCCATATATTTATACTGATATAAAACTAAGGTAGAGATTCTATATAGCAGCGAAACAAGAAAAAGGCAGGTGGTGGTGGTGGGGGACCATGGCTAGTTAAAGCTGGAATTTTAGGAAGGTTATCAATGGAAAGAGAAAGGAATACAAAATACTTTATTTTTCATTTTCACAAACTGGCTATAATAACTTGTGGCAAGCAAAGTAAAAAAAAACCACAGTAATAAAAAAGCAACTATATTTAAATACTATAGCCACATTCAGGTAGTATATTCATGCATTGGCCCCACACAAGCAGCGACGTGCATATATTCCTGAATGGACAGAAATCTTGGAAAGGAAAAGATCCCGAGATCAAGGAAGAGGGTTTAGGTGAAATTGAAAATATCAACTTTTACCTACTGCTCTCTAGAGTGAAAATGAAGGCAAGCCAAGCTGTTGTTACTGTGGGCGATAAGAAGCAAGTGAGGCTGGGAGGTGGTTTACTGCTGATATTTTCCATTCTGATACTGAGAAAAGAAGAAGAAGCCACAGTGGCTTCCCTAAGGCATATTTATGTGGGGAAGGTAAATAACAGAGGTTGTTTTCACTAGTCAGAAGGGATCTAGCTTGTAGATCTATTTGGTCATGCTTTTTGTGTTAGGTGTTTCAAGTAAGAGCTGAAGAAAACCAGAATTTCTCTTCCCATAAACAAGTTAATGGCTGAGGTAATTGCTGTAAAGGATCTTAACCATACAGGTATGTTAGGTGTTCAGTTTGAACTGTTTGAGCTGTGCTTTTGCTATTTGGCCATTGGAAACTTATGGTTTTGAAAAAAGTATCCCAAATAGATGTAGGGTATTTATTAACTAATTAGATTAGGGCAAACAGAAATATAAATACTGTTCCCCCCATATGATAATGTATTTATGATTATGCCCTCTTTAAAGTAATACAAGTGAACTAAATTGAGAGCTTTATTGTTTGTGAATTTTAAAAAGATCATAATCTAAACTTCAAAAACATTCTAAATCTCATAAGACAGAATTGGCATAGCAAATAAAGAGTTAGCAGCTGTTGAGCACCTTGTTAGGTATTATATTCACAATATTCTTCATGGTTGACATATGTTGGCCATCAAAAATTCTGAAGTTAACCTACAAATAAATATTGATGGATTGTGGTGAGAACAGAGAAGCATGACCATCTTTCTTAATTTATTTTAGCTTTCTTATAATAGCTATTATTTTTAAGGATATAAAAAGGATGGAACAGCATTAAGAGCTAAACAGCAACTAAATACATAGACATAAACAATGACTGAATGGATTTAGATGTCCAGAGCGCTCCCACCTCTCACTTTATTTTGCCTCATTTCAGAGAGGCTGAGGCGATGTACAGAGAAATGGTTTGTGATTCCTTTTCTTGCACAAAGACAGATAAATGTTAAAAAAAAAAGAGTTAAAAGCATGCTTACATTAATGTTGGCTCCTGATGACCTTGTGAGTACAACCATGCAACTTTCTTGGCAACAGTGCATACTTTTTTCTTTTCTTTTGAGATATCTCAAAATAAAAAAAAATAAAAAAAAATCACAACAGAATACCCTATGCCTCCAAACTTGAAATTTAAGGCTTAGATATCTTAGAACCAGGCCACCTTTGGTCTGACCTAAGCGTAGTACATAAAATTATCCATTACAATGTCCTATCCGTCAGTGACTACTTCAGCTTCAACCTAAACAATACACGAGCACACAATAGATACAAACTCAGAGTAAACCACACAAAACTCAATTGCAGGAAATACGACTTCAGCAACATAGGGGCCAATGCCTGGAATACTCTACCTGACTCTGTGGTTTCTTCCACTAACCCCAAACACTTTAACCTCAGTCTGTCTACTGTTGACCTCACCCCATTCCTAAGAGGTCTGTAAAGGGCGTGCATAAGCGCACCAATGTGCCTACCGTCCCTGTCTTAATGTTTCCTTTTATTCGTATCTACTTCATGTATTAACAATCATGTTCATACTTACATATATTATCAAATGCATGCTTGACAAAATAAATAAATAAAATCATGATACTTCCTGATAGTCTTCTTTCACAACCTTTCTAATCCTTCTTAGTACATGAAACCGTCCAGGCAGATTGATATATGTTTGTCTATGCCTGAAATAGAGCCTACCTTTGTGTATTCAGCAAAGCCTGGAATGATTTATGTAAGCCATTGAATCTTTGGAACATGTTGAAGACCATGAGGAGGGAACCTGGTCTCTGACAGTTTGTTTACACAAAAGTTGTCTCAGGAGGCTATCTGGCCTCTAGGAATTTCAGAAATAAATTTCAACTCTTAAGCAAGAATATATTGAAGATATTAATATTAAGCAATTAGCTTAAGACTGAAACCATTATCATATAGCTAATACTTTGATGTAAATTGCAGTGTTTTTCTTTCATCTTACACTGCAGTTTGGATGAGAAGATAAATAACAATATGCATGGAACACTGACATCCTAAATGGCAGTTAATACTGCTAGATTTTTTTCCTTTTTATTTCCCACACCTTCAGCTTTCTAAATAATAGTAGCATATTGGTAATTTTAATCATAATATATAAACGTTACTATACTGAAACCTGCATTAAAATTCAGGTAGTTTGTGACTTATGACCACAATTGAGCCCAAATTTTCCATTGCTAAGCGAGACATTTGTTAAGTGAGTTTTACTTCATTTTACAACATTTCTTGCCACAGTTGTTAAATGAAACACTGTGGTGGTTAGTAATAGCAATAGCATTTAGATTTATCCATAATGCTTTACAGCCCTCTCTAAGCGGTTTACAGACTCAGCATATTGCCCCCAACAATCTGGGTTCTCATTTGACCCACCTCAGAAGGATGGAAGGCTGAGTCAACCTTGAGCCATTCAGAATCGAACTCCTGGATTGAGCAGTGAATTAGCCCTGCAGTGCTGCATTCTAACCATTGTGCCACCACGGCTCCTCTAATCCGATTGTTAAGTGACTCTTGCTTACCCATTGATTTTGCTTGTTAGAAGTGTGTAAAAGGGATTACATAGAACACTGCAACCAGCATAAATATGAGCCTGTTGTCAAGCATCCAAATTTTGATCATGTGACCATAGGGATGCTGCAACAATTGTGATTGTGAAAAATGGTAATAAGCCACATTTTTCAGTGCTGCTGTAACTTCAAATGGTCACTAAACAAATGGTTGTAAACAGAGGACGATCTGTAATACAGTGTAACAAGATGCATAACATTACAATAAAAGGGAGAAAAGAAATAAAATTAACACACGGCTTGTTCTAATATGATTATTCTTACACACAGTCCCACTTATTTGATGGTGTTACTAGCAGTTTTGTCCTGTGGACATATTTGGTTCCCAAAATTAAGGAAACCATATTTTTTTTCTCTCTATTTTAGATGAAAGGTAGAAGAAATCCTCAAGGGGAATAATTTCCAATGGCAAATAATCTTTACTGTTTCAGGGTTTATTAGATTCCTGCAGACTGGAAGTGAATGATGGTAGTGGTAGTGGTATAATAATGACCTAGAAAATGCCTCTAAAATATTTGTTACTTTCTGTTGACTTTATTGATTAATGTTGTGATCAGTATGGTTGCTACCTGTCAGCTGTATGTGAAGAATTAATGGGAACAGATGAACATATTCTGGTTCTTACCCTAAGGACTATATGAATTATGGAATAGTGTTGAATTTTTGCATATTGTTCTAGCCCTGGCTTTAAAGATTGTACATTTTGGGAATTGTTCCTAGTCTGTAATCATGACAATCCTCCTAGCCTGTAATCATGGTAACACAATGGTAATAACCCAGACTTGAAGAATGGAAAAAATAAAATTGAGGGCTTGACAGGATCTCTTTTTAATCAGAAGTGATAGACAGGCGCTATGAGTTTTTATGGTTGATTTTCTTATACTGTATTTTAAAAAGTCTGCATGTTCTACTTTTTCTGTTTGAGCTAGTTTTTTCAAATATAGAAATATATTCAGTGGATTAATCAAAGGTTGGAGAAAACAGGAAAAAAATACTAATGGAATGGCTAAGAATGCAGCTGAAACTCTTGGGAATAAATGCTCCCATAAACCAAATAAAAAACTCATTAGTGAAGTATGCAGAAGAAAGAGCTCAATCTAGCCTGTATTTTATGGTAGCTTTTAAAAAGCAACAAGGCCTTCAGGTTTAATACACATATGATGTAAGACCAAGTATTTTTAGTATCATAAATGCAGAATGCCAGAAACTGTTTACCTTGCTAGACACATTTCAGTTGAATAATCTACAGTAGATAGATTGTATGAACAATTTTAAATATTCTGAGTATTGTTAGTGAGACAGTTTCTTGGGTTTTTTTCCTTTTATATTATGTGGTCTATTTTGTTAAATACTGTTGTTTTAAAATAGCTGTCCACCAACCCTTGCCAATTGTCATAATTTTATTTTTGTTTACCATCTTTCTGACTACTGTCTCATGTTTGTCTTGAGCAGCTGTCATTTTCAGTACGGGTATTTATATCTATAAGAGTGCAGCATCTTCCTCTAGAAACTTGATTGCATTTCCTTTATGAGATATTTGATGTTCAAAGATTGAACCTGACAGGGAGAGATCTGCTTTACCTCCTCCAAATTCAGCTTATTTGGCATGACAATTTGAACATTATGATCATGAAAAACCACCCCTGGTTTTTTCTTTCTGTGGAACAAAGTTCTTTGTATAATGACTTTGAATTATTTGCTTGAATGGAACGTAAGGAAAAAATAAATTAATTTGAAGGAGATATGATAGAGTAAAAAATTTAAGAGTAAAAAATTTAAGAAGAAATATCAAGGGAAACATAATATAATATGAAAGATAGATCATTAGTTTCTACCGATAATTTATCTTGCCTATACCATCCTAAGTTTCCCTTGAAGGCCAGAATTGAATCCTCCAGAAAACCTTCAGATAAGACAGTATACATGCTACGTTTCCCCTTTCCGACTGATGTTAGGTGCTACAGAGCTTTGGAACATGACACTACCTCCCTAATCATTCTTGTTAACAATACGATTCTATGCCATGTTTATGTAAAGTTACCTAAGCTAATAGCCAGACCCGTATCGTGTGTAGTGAATTGATATTTCCACTGATTTGCACAATCCAACTCAAGTATCCTTTACTGCATTTGGGATTAAGCTTTCAACTTTAGAAATCTTTAATATTGACAAGCAGGAGGTAATGGTATATGGGAATGACCTTGGGAGACAGAAGAAAGACCGCAGCCTAGGCATCAGCGCTGAGGCATCAATCATATAAGAGGTAGTTCAGGCCTCAGGTGGGGGGAAAGCATGGGAAGCATTTCATAATGGACCCACCCTAGTTTTGAGGAAGTTAAAAAGAGATCAGAGGAGAAATGCTTACAATCTTGCAAGATTCTGTTAATGTAACCTTACAGTAAAGATAATGCTGATGTGAGAGGTTGGGCTTTTTGTCTGAACTACCTTGAAGGGCTAAACACAACCAAAATTAAAGTTATAATGCAAATTGTCTCTAAAATGACAACATATCCAGATTAATGCTGTCAAATAACAGAATATCAACATTTCCTTTTAGATTAAATGAAATATATACCTGGTGGTTGCTTTGTCTTTTTTTTGTGTGGAATAGAACATTTATAGGGTAGCAAAGATCATAATTATTTTAAAGGTGGATTATTAGACAGCTGGGGTAGCCTTGGTAAAAATATTATCCATGGCATATTTAACTATTAAGGTAAGTAATGTATATATGAGAACCAGAGAAAATCAGAAGACTGTGAGTTCTAGGCCTGCCTTAGGCATGAAAGCCAGCTTGGTGATTTTTGGCCAGTCACTCCCTCAGTCTATCTTACCTTACAGGTTATTGTTGGGAGGAAAATACTGTAGTAGGAGAAAGGAGCACTAGGTATATTTGCTGCCTTTTGATGATACATTAAATGTCATGGTATCTCCTTTGAAGCATCTGGCATATTGAGATGCCAGTGCTTGGTTTCTTCAGAACCTCTCTTTGCTACATAGAGAAGATCTTCTTTGATCTAATGAAGTTTGTGAGAATTCCCTGGGTATCTTGGGCTTCCCAACTTTTGTGTTTGAAGCTGTAAAATGCTGACTAGAAGGTTAGCTGGATGATATCAAGTGCTATGTATAAATAAAGCTTGCTATGTATATAGTAAGCCGTAGCACCTTATGCCACTTCCTGTATGACTACCTATTGATGTAGATTCTTTTTTATTTATACTTTATTAAATTTTTAAAAGAAAATTAGGAAAGAAAAATAGTGAAGGGCAAAGGATAAAGGGGAAAATGGGGAAAAGAAAATAAAGAGTGATGATTGACTGACTTTCAACAAATGCAAATATAAAATAGATTATTAACCTGTTGATCAGAAGCCTACCGTAATAGTATTGTGTGATTTCTACTACTTGAGATGGTATAATTTGTCAAACTAATTAGAATATTGATGATAGATATCCAATTGTTTGAAATAAAAAAAATCTTGAATACCTGCACTGCTCTTGAATTTATTATTTTAAAGATATTTTGCACTTTAGAAAATGAGATACATCAAGACATTGAGCAATACATTGAGCATTTGAAATAGCTTAAAGTCCAATTTTGGCACCAGTAAAAGTGATAATTACCAGTTTTGAACGTTTTCTAAAAGTTGAAGATCCCAGTTGCAGTTGAAATACCAATTGCTCTTATTGTGTCAAAATCTTTGTTTTATAAATGTTACCTCATTCTGAATTAACCTGCAGAAGAGCAGTGTAGTGGTGACATGCTCTAAATAAGTTGTGAAATTTAAAGATGGATAGCACAGGGTCTTGAAACTAGGTTTGCAAAGGGATCTTGGATGAGTATATATTTTCAAGAGCTTCGGAGACTAAAGAAATAGCCTGATAGGAAAATGGACATCTTGATTTTATTTGTTAGAAATTGAGATGTTGTACCTTTTTCTCAAAGGCAATCTTAGTTCATTATTATAACAGTATAATGAATAGATTAACCTAGCCTAGCCTAGAACATTTTTATTGTCCGAGTGTGATTGAACACACAAGGAAATTGTGTTTCCAAATTTTTGCACAAATATCACAATTGTGCAATTATGCACAAATTTGTACATTGTGCATAATTGAGCAAATGAAACTATCTTGGTTGATATTTGGAATTTTAAAGCATTAACATTTAAATACTGTAAAATTAATATATATGCTGTATTGAATATGGAGTTGTAATTTGTTTTTTTAAAAAACTAAGCATACCTTGGGCTTTGTCATTGAAGAAAATATAATAAAGTGAAAGTTTATAGTAGAAACCTTTGCCATTATAGTAAACAAAAAAATGATATTCTTGATCTTGACTTAGCAACAGGACAATAGCAACAGCAGCAGCATTAGTTTTGGACACCAAAAATGCTTTTCAGTTGTTTGTTTTAGACATGTGGTGCTATGTTCTGAACCAGTAGTAAAAGTAATACAATATATATGGCACTATATAGTGCCAGTTTTTTTAATTATTGAATGATTTAAGATTTTTATATTGAAGGCCAGGGAAATAATATTGTAGAGTTGGAAGACAATGAAGAGTTAGGACAATGAATCCAACTTGTGGAACAGATAACTAAAATTATTTTTGCGGCCACTTACTGGCTTTCTGGATTTTTGCAGTTTAGATCTGGTAAATTTCTGCACTGGTAATTATTTAAAACTAAGCAATTATTACATTTATTATTCCCCCTTTCCAGATTACTCTATACACTATATGAGGGCAAATTACTTCTGTCTAATATTGAAGTAGGGTATTAAACTCGAAGCAAAGTACTAATTTGTTTCGCTCATGTGAAAGGAACTTAATCCTCACAGTACTGATCATTCTAGTGCAAATTTTGGAAGAGCAGGTTTTCACTGAAAAACCAGCCAAAATGTGTAGTTAAATGAGTTCAGATAAGTAGCAGATTATTTGAATGGAGTAAAATTCTTCTCTAGAAATCTCCTATATAATTTGTCCATTATTAAATATATATCTGCTGTTGATGAATTATAGTAAAGCAAAGCTCTGCAAGATGGTTTTTCATGAGAATATATTTTATGGGATTAGAATTTTTGCTAAAATTGTTAAAAGCTGTTTTCATGAAACACTATTTAGAAAATATTGGACATAATTGCTAACATGCAAGTATGTTACTGAGACAAACATCTTTTTCCTGAAATATCTATAGTGAAATTTGAAGAGTTTCTTTTTACTGCACCTCTTGTAAGCAGTTGAAAAGGTAATCATTCAATCATCTACCAGAGGGGCTTCCCCCCCCACCCTTAGATGTGGTGGGATATAATCTGGTTTAATTATAAAAATACAAATATTCACTTTTGTTATGTAAAATGAACAGGTGACTCTTCTGTAGTAGCTTTTAACTTGTCAAGTATTCTTCTTGGAAATGCCAGTTCTCATTGTTAGGATGGATCAGTTTTTCCAGTTAATGTCAATGTTGATGTGTTCAGTCATAGATCTGTTCCATTTCATTTTTTTAAAATGGTAATTTCAAAATTTGTTTTTGAATTGTACCTAGTGATTTTACAGGGAAATGCTTCCTGAAAATGTTGACATTTGAAGGATATCCATGTTCTATATTGGTATGGGAGGTTTGAATTAGACCTATTTAGGCATCCCATATCAATAGTATATTTGGATAATTTATTTCTATTTGTGCTTACCATGATGACAACAAATCCAATTGCTGGCCATTCTGAAATATGACTGTTTTATTTGTATTTCTATCTTCAAGAATTGTAGCAAAGCTGAACAATCAATTTAGGAAAGCAACAATGGCCCTTTTGCTTGACTTTAGTCTAGTTGGACCGAAGAACTCTTTCACAAAAAATAAGTTTTTCAGTAGTTATTTTTGATAATTTGAAAGTCTTTGTTTTCTTATCTGTAACCTGAGTTTTCTTTAAATTAATGTATGAATTGGAAGATAGTTTGGGAGAAAGTTCATTTCTCTTTTTAAATTAAACT